TCTTTCTTTCTTTCTTTCTTTCTTTCTTTCTTTCTTTCTTTCTTTCTTTCTTTCTTTCTTTCTTTCTTCTTTCTTTCCTTCCTTCCTGTCTTTCTTTTTGTGTTTTTTGAGAGTTTCTCCTTGTAGCTTTGGCTGTCTTGTAGACCAGGTTGGCCTTGAACTCACAGAGATCTGCCTGCCTCTGCCTCCCAAGTGCTGGTATTAAAGGCATGTTCCACCATGCCTGGCTTGACCCACGTCCTTTCTGTTAGAAAACTAATAACGACTTTTCACTTTTGAGTTTACAATGTTTTCCTTTAGTGGGGAGGCGTTTGGGCTCCTTGGGGGCATTTTCTTCCTTTGTTCTAATTTTATCCAATCTGAACAGTGACTATGTTTTTCTGCATAGACGATTGCATTGCACTAGGAACTATATCCACCTGCATTTGTTTGTGTCCTTCATGCTGAGAGCTGTGAGCATCTTTGTGAAGGACAGAGTGGCCCATGCTCACCTAGGAGTAGAGGCACTGCAGTCTCTGGTCATGCAGGGTGACCTCCAGAACTTCATCGGAGGACTGTCCACGGACAAATCTCAGTATGTACGTGTTCTCATTTTCTCTCACTACAGAAGTTTTATAAATAAGCTTCACATCATAGTCCACCAAACACTAACTTGCTTTGAGTTATTTTGCCTTGTCTTTAAATTTATTAGATTTAAATAGAATATATATGTACACACACACACACACACACACACACACACACACACACACACGTAACTGTCTTCTCACATCGCTCATGTTTTCTCATTTGAACTTGATTTTCAAGAATGTTCTACAAAATGCGTGATTGCAATGGAATTTCATGTATGGGTCACAGTGGCTGTCACGGGTCACTTTCAGAAGTGAAGTCTCATCTGCAAAAGCAGAAGCCTGGGATTTAAAAGGCCACCATATTCAGTTCCCTTCTTGTACACTTGAACTTCCACGGCATGTGACTTTTCTTTTAAATGCCCCAGTCTTAGAGTTTAGAGTCACACAGTAGTTCAGTAAATTTGATCATGGAGTGCGGGGCGGGGGCGGGGATGGCATGGTCACCTTTGGCACCTGTAGATTGATCTTCTCACAGTCCCAGTGAATGCCCATCTAGCTCCCTTTCCCTTCGACTTTGTGGTCCTGTTGTGTGATTCTGGCTTGGCCTGTGGTTTGTCACAGAGTACTGGATGAAGCAGACTCTGTGAAGTCTGGTGAGGGCGGAGTGAGCCCAGCTCAGATCAACAGAACCACTGGCCCTTCCATAGAACCCTCAGATGTTCAGTGTTTATTATTTTCAGTCATTACAGTTCATTTTTCTGTTATCACATGAAAGGCCCAGAATGAAACAAATCATAGAAACATGAATGATAATCATATTCCCTCATTCTGTTTTTTTTTCTGATAATTATGTTATTTTTATAAAAAGAAAAGAATTATGAAATTTTGTAACTACTAAAAGAAAAAAGTTATTTAAAAAGCAGAATCGAGTCTGTTGTCTGGGAAGCCCTATGTTAAGACAACCTGATCCTGATCTTTTCAAGATTCTTAACGTTCTCATGAACTAAGACATTTTTTGGTTATCAGAAGGTGAATGGAAGAATTATATTCTAGTGATCTCAGGGTGGCATCCAGCACAATGAAAAATCCTAATTCAACCCAATTCTGGTTCATTTATAACAGGCCGGGTGCAAGATCGCTGTTGTGATGTTTATTTATTTCTTGGCTACAAACTATTATTGGATCCTGGTGGAAGGGCTCTACCTGCATAACCTAATCTTTGTGTCTTTCTTTTCGGACACCAAATACCTATGGGGCTTCATCTTGATCGGCTGGGGTAAGCATTCCTGTCGCCTTCCCTTTGACTGGTTATGGGATTGAGTACGTCGAACCTTGTCTATCGCTAGCCTTTCTTCGTCCATTTTCCCAGAAGAATCCAGACCATCTTAGTTTATGACTTTTCTTTGTTTCATTATTCTGTTAGTGAAATGCATTTATTAAAATCATTTCTATCATTCTTCCATGAGGAACAAAATTTTCAAGCTTAAATTTTGGTTAATATTTCTAGGCCTAATTCTCTCTAGAACTCTGTAGAGGAGGCTGGAAAGAACAGATTGTTAGCCGTATTTGTTCAAACCTTCCAGGCCCGTGCCTTGTGCCATGTCTGTTCTGTCAATGATTTCTTCCTAACAGTTTTGAAGCTTGAATTTACAGCCTACAACAGTGTATCTGTGATTTGTGTGTCTAAGTCAAATAATGACTTAGAAGCATCTATAGTACTATTTGACTGCACAGAACACATGAAATTACAAACTAATTATGGAGCCTTACCATTCTTGGAAGGCGATTATTTAAATTATTTCAAGTAGAGTAAATTTAAAAAACATGATATTCAGCTCACAGTTCACAAATGACTTACCAGGGCTGGAGCAGTTCCTGGATTGCAACATGAGACAGAGAAAATGATACTGTGTACTTGTTAACATTTCAGGGAAAGGAAAACCTTGAGGTGGCTAAAATAGGAGTGCCTGGAGATTTAACAATTGCAGACTGACCTACACTGCTACTTTAGTATTTGAATTATGAGGAACTCAGCACAGGAGAAAGGCACAATGTAGTCTCAGAACTAAATTGGAAGACTTTTCCCCTTCCCAATGAAGCAGGAATATTCCTTTGCTCACTTTGACTTAAAATTGCCACAGTATCTGAAATAGAAAATAAGGAAAAGAAAACTTCTGCTTCACTCACTGAGGGTCTTTAGGATGACAAAAATTTAACACTGTAGTCATTCTGAGATGAAGTTTGTGGCTATAGTTTTGTTCTTGAAGCCAGCTTGCTTGTTTGCTTTTTGAATTTCTACATTGAGCACATGCATTATAAGTTCATTTCCCTCTAATTTCTTATGGCTTGATCAGAAACAGGATCAGGCCTCCTCACCAGCTATTTATTTGAGCCATGAGCAGTCAGCGCAGTCTGCATTTGCTCAGTTAAAGTCAGGGGTTCATCATAGTGAAACCTTGGAGACTTGATTTCAGATTTCCCTACAGAGGAAAAAAAAAAAAGAATAAAAATTTCCTGTTTTTAGCACACTTCTATGCTCATGTAGGTTCCTAACTTTCTTTTGCAACTTGTGTTAATTTGCTTACAATGATTTTGTCACTGGGACGATGCAACAGTAAATAAGGAAGGTCCTCTGGAATCTCTATTTCATGAGGAAGACTTGAGAACACACAGGATCCTCACAGACACTGATACATAAGTATCTTTTACCCAACATTAGGTTGATTTCGGTAGCACAGTCCACACAATAATACATTCTGTAGCTAGTCTATCACAGGACTCTCTTTTTGCAACTCCAGTCTTTAAAAGATATTCTAGATCAGCGGTCTCAACTTTCCTAATGCGGTGACAATTTAACACAGTTTCTCACATTGTGGTGACCCCCAACCATAAAATTATCTTTGCTGCTACCTCATTACTGTAATTTTGCTGCTGTTATGAATCATAATGTAAATAGCTGATATACAGGACATCTGATATGTGACCCCTGTGAAAGTGTCATTTGACTCTCTAAAGGGGTCTTAATCTGCAGGTTGAGAAACGCTGTTCCAAGCATATGAAAAGAATACTAATGACCTTCTAAACCTGACTCCTGGCTCCTAAAGCAAAACTCTTTTGAAAGTATGTATTCACATCGTATTGATTGAAAGATTGCTCTTCTTATATCTCAAAAATTGAGAGACTAATTTTATGTTTACAGATCCATTCTTCAGTGCTTAAAAACATGACAGGGGCTTTGCATGTCATAGAAATAATTCTCAGAGAATTCAGTTGCATACTTTTTCTCAATGACACGATTTACTGGCTTTATTGTGGAAGGAAACTTAGTTGCTTTCATTTATTGCTCATGTGGGCCAGTTATGGCTTTAAACTCTCTTCAACCAGGCAAGTACTCAGAAATCTAGTATTCGTGTTGTAGTGATTTGGGGTACATTATTTGCATTGATTTTTTAAAAATAATAATTTTAACCAATACATTAAGAGAAAAGGAAAGTTATAATTTGAAGAGGTCCCAATGCCTATCTGACCATTACTAGATTAAAGACAAATACTAAAGTGACCACGTTTATACAGAGTTTAATCGCAGAGATGTAGACTGTGGGCTGCAGACTGATCAGCAGTTAAGAGCACAGGTTATTTTTCCAGAGGACCTGAGTTTTTTTTTTTTTCCTAGTACCCACATCGGTTGACTCATAACAGCCTGTGACACCAGTTCACACGGGACAATGCCTCTGGCATCTTTAGGTACCCCACAAACACACATGGCGCGCGCGCACACACACACACACACACTCATACAATTAAAACTAAAACTTTAACAAATGACATGGAGAGGAGTGAAATTGAATAGTGACCCCTTCTCTTTCAGCTCAACACATCCTTACTTTTCTCTGTCCTTATTTTGGTTCTGCCACAAATGATATGTTATTCTTCCTCTCATTTAGTCTCTCATCTATGTATCTGCATTTTAATTCTGTATTTAAAAGGTTTCAGTTTTAGGTCTCACCATTATGAATATGGTACTTAACTTTTATATACTTAACCTTCAGTTGTAAAAAGAGGTGCTAATTCCTGTTTATTATTATATAAAGTACTTATTCTGGTCAATCAACCTGGTCATGGACCTGTTGCCATCCTTTCAATGTAGAAAAATTTGCCATCCTGTCTTTATTGAAGCTCATCAGCAGGTATAAATACCTCATTACCTGTATATAATGTGTTACCTGTGAATAATGTGACTTCAGTCTAGTAAATAGTTTTCAATTGTTCATTTGATGGTAAATTAAATATGTAAATATTAGTTAACATTCCCATCTTTGTATTGCTATAACAAAGTAGCTGATGCCAGATAAAGAATGAACGGAAGCAAAGAAACAGTTGTGGAGGTCTGTGAGTATCTGTTTCTGGTGCAGGCTTCATGGCAAGTGACATGGCATGGCAGAGTGAATGTTATTTAAGAGAGAGCAGGTGCTGAGAGAGGAAGCAAAGGAGTGAGCCAAGGACTCTGGACTCACTTTATAATACCTGATTTCTGAGTAGTCAGTTTAGCCCCTTGAGTGTGGACAGGTGCCTCCGTTTGGAGTCAGTCTTAGAGCCAAGGAAAGAGGGAGTCACAGCCTTCCTGACTTCAGAACCTGCTGGCGGCTTCTTCTGACCTTCCTCTTTTAGAATACGAACAGTGTAATGTTCTTTTCAAGGGTAATGTTTTTGAGAGCACAGTTTCTCCCAGCTTTTCTCTGTCCCTGTTATCTCTCTCCTTGAAAGCAGGCCTCTGTGTGGTGAAAGTCAGAGTGTACTACCCTCTACATGATTAAGGCTCTGGGAATTTCAGTCCCTTACAGATGTTTCCTCCTCTATTCCTGCCATGAAAATTTGAGCAAACATCATCATCTTTAGACTTCCAGAGGCAATTTGCCCTTTAGGTTGTCGCTCTCTTATCAAACTGACGAGATGGCATTAGGTATACTTTTCTTATTGACATAAATTTTTTTTTTGTGTGTATCTATATTTTCTCTCTTAACTGCTAATCTTATAGTCACATGAGAAACAAAAAAACAAGAGACAAACAATACAATCCTTGATCTGAAAGTAAACATGGGCTCCAAATCTTTTTCTGGTTACAGGATTTCCAGCAGTATTTGTTGTGGCCTGGGCGGTGGCACGGGCCACTCTGGCAGACACCAGGTTAGTGGAAATCAAATGGGGTTGGGGGTTTCTGCAAACTCAGGCTTTTTGCTTGGCTGCTCTTCCTGGTTCTGTGGTCCTTTGGGGAAGTCAGGTGAAGTTGCCCGTGTGCAATAGTAGACTCTTCTGCATTGCCAGGAAGCGGTTTGGCTCTCGGTCAGAGGACAGAAAGGCCCACAGAATATGTCCAGATGTTGAACTTCCTGATTTATGTGATCAGTTTAAAAACGATGATGATCCAAACATGTCTGGGTCCATCCTCCTTAACATTCGACACTCAGCTACTGAGTTTGCCGTTTCTATGTTTGTGTAAGTGAGATGCCAAGGCTTCACCCCCAGGGCAGTCTAGCACTAAAATACACCCTCAGCCCTAAGATAGTCTTTTCAAAAAAGCTATAGCTCTTCACTTTTCTCTGCATCTGGGCTACTTAAAAATAAGCATACCAGACTGATTTTCAAAAGGTACCCGGAACACCACTGGAAATATAAAAGAAGGCTCTTCCTGCTTTAGATTCTATCAAGGGCTATTAGACTAGGAGGAGCTAAGCTAATTGATAAAGCCACAAAATCAGCACTTTCTGTTTCTTGGTTCTGTTTGTTTAAAAAAGCACAAACACCTTCAAGGATGCCCCTGAGGGTTAGTTTTAAACAATCTTCTCTAACATAAAGTCACTGGAGGAGGGAACTCCCACTGAGGAATCGGGTAATCAGGTTGGCCTGTGAGCATGTCTATGGAGGAAGGAGTGCCTTACTTGACATAGGAAGTCCCTGATGACTGTGGGCAGCATAGTTCCTTAGGCAGGGGTCCTGAACTACATCAGACAAAAGAAAGCTAGCTGAGTGCCTAGCAAACAAGCAGGCAGCACGGATACAATCTTGTCTCTCTGACTGTGGATGTGTGTGTATTTGGGTTCCTGCTTTGATTTTTCCCTCATTGAAGAACTGTCACCTAGAAATGTAAGCCAAATAATCTCCTTTCTCCCTAATTGCTTCTTGTAGGGGGCATTTTATCACAGCAAACAGGAACAAAAACAGAATAATGCCTTGCTACTTTATTCTTGCTCCATTTAGAGGAGATAAGGGATGCCAGTGAGTGGGGGACCTGTAACATCCGTGTTCCACTTTAACTTCATCGTTCAGAAGGAGAGGTGGGGTGTACAGTAGAAAAGGCAACAAAAATAAATACACTGAAACATTTTAGGAGTTGCATAATTTCCAGGGCCTAACTCCTTTTGCGTCCTCTATTTTTACTGAATATGGTAGAGAAGGAAGGGGAGGAAGGGAAGGGGGGAGAGAGAGAGAGACAGACAGACAGAGAGGCAGATACTGACAGAGAGAGATTCACTCACTGGGTACCTATGGTAGGATGGTACAGGTTTCTAGTGTTGGAGTAGAAATCCCTCTTTTCTAGTCAAACCTTCTAGTCAACATTCAGAACTTCATTTCTTAGAGTGTTAAAATCTATTTTAAAACACCTGAACAGAGTTTGATTCCTCAGCTGTGGATGATGTGGGACACTGAAAAATTACTTTAAAATAAGGAGCTATAGCATTTTTCTTGAAAATATCTGAAATCTTCCTTGCCTCTCTTATTGTGTCTAAATGAAAAATTGAAACTTGGACACCCTAACTCGTAGAAGTAAAGTTTTTGATGCATTTAGAGAGCCGATTTTGACCTACTTCCAAATATAGAGGTTTTTTAGAACTAGAATTAAATGATTGAATCTCATGTGTTAGGAGACACGATGCTAAAATGTCATTGAGGCAGAGAAAAAAAGATTGTGAGGATATTATTAAATGCTCCAAACTGAAATGAAAATGAATGGCATCCAAAAGCCTTGCAGCTGCTACATCAAGACTTCTGTTATAGATGAAAGATTTTGAGGGTAGTGTGATCCATGATCTGTGCAGCTCAGTAATAATCTTTTATCTTTCTTGTATATTGAATAACATGAAAGAGAGACACCTGTACACAATGCTGGGAAATGTTCAATTTAATTTTCAATGTACAAGTGTCATAATTCTGTGTCTCTCCATGCTAGTAAGATTCCAGGTTCATTGGTTATACAGATTTCAGCTGGGCAGGACCAGAATTAGTTTGATGCAGGGGTCTTGTTGGTCTCTATGTTACAGTCTTGTAACAGAATGCGTGCGACTGATATCTTTTGGTACCAATATAGAAACCTATATGTGCACTTTCATATGTATATTCAAAAGGAAGATAAAGTTGTACAGCAGCATATTAATTACATTATTTTGCGAGACACCTGTATTAGTGTTTTTGTTCCATTTATTGCTCCTGTGACAAAATGCCAGACGAAAACTGGTTCACAGTTTGAGCGTATAGTCCACCATGGTGGAGGAGTCATGGAGACGGCCCACTGGTCATTGTTTCTGTGGTCAGGCTGGAGAGAAGGATGAATGTGGGCAGTCTGCTCTCTATTTCCTTTTTATTTAGTGTAGAACTCCAGCCCGCTGAATGGTGCCACTCACATTTAAAGTGGGGCTTCGGAATTCAAATCACCCAGCTGAGACGTGACCAGAGGTTTACCTTGTAGGTAATTCTAGATCATATCAAGATGACAATCAATGTTAGTCATTACAGCTTTCTGTTACTGTGACAAAATACAATCAACTTAAAAACAGGAGGAAGTTTATATTTGACGCTCAGAGGTTTTAATTCATGGTTGTTTGGCCTTGTTGGGCCTGCTAGTCCATCACAGTGAGAGGGGACATTCACTTTATAGTATCTGGGAATCAAAAAGAAAGTGGATGTAGGCTCCCAATTTCTGTCTCAAAGTCATTCTCTTAGCATTTCAACTTCCTTTCACTAGGCCTCAACTTGTAGAGATGCTATCAGCTCTCAGTAATGCCATACACTGGAACAAGGCCTCTAACACATGGGATTTTGGATGGCAACTTAAAATCCAAAATACAGCAATAAGTCAAAATAAGAATATGACATTTGTATTCATTTGGAAATGCATAGGCACTGTCAACGTATTTAACAAAATAGTGAGAGAACATGGGGAAGATGGAGATATCACAGTATCTGTCTTCTAGTTTATAGATTTTCAGGTGAGAATGTATTACTTACACATGAAAACTATACTTTAAAATGCATAGTTGTTAGATATGGACTAAATATGCATCTTAAAAACTGTTAAAATAGAATTTTACTGTCTATAAGTTATTTATGAAGTATTTATACATTGTTTATAATTTCTTGATAAGTTTATCATCTTGAATTTTAAAAATTAACATCATGTTTCCCCAAATTCTGTATATAATTTACTATTGGTATAATCAATTCTGAGTTTTTTCTGACTGGAAAGAAATGGAAGCCTTTTATTTATATATGTCTATATGTTTAAAACAGTTGCTTCAAGTGTTATATTAAACTTTCAAATATAAGTAATAAAAAAACCCTCTGTACTATTTAATTTAGTGTATGAGTTTTACCAGTACAAACCCAATTAGTTGAGGTTGAGTTAAATTTACTTTGGATTCAATTTATACACTTTCAACAAAACAAATATTTAATGGAAATTTGTATCCTATATAATGTTCTAGGCATGTTCTCACAACACCCCATCTCCCCACACTGATCTCTACCCATGTATTACTTAAATTTTAGTCAGTTGTTAGAAGCTAATTGTAACAAATAGCTAAATTGTAGGGTATTTTTACTAATGCTATTAAAATAAACTGTAAAAATTAAATATAAAATCACGAGTCGCACACAAGTATAAAATGAACACCTGTGAAAATTTTTAACATCTTATTCAAAGAGGAACTATGAAATGTTAATTGGTTCAAATGAGACATCAATTAACCACTTATATTCATGAAATTTAATACTGAAGATTTACAAATAAATGCAAAAACCAGTCAGCATTCAATAAGACACTAATGAGTTATAGTCTGTCAAAGACAGCTGAGTTTTTATTTCTGTGATAAGAACCATTTGTGTTCAACTATCTGTTTTATTTCAATAAGTAATAAGCTACAAAATAAAATTGCTCTAAATTCTGAGATAGTTTTTTTTTTGGCCAATAACTTTTTAAATTATTAGCTCTCATTTTTAACCTATCTATTTTTGAATATGTGTCTATTTATTTTACATACATGAGTGCTCTATCTGCATGTACACCTACATGCTAGAAGAGGGCATCAGATTCCATTACAGATGGTTGTGAGCCACCATGTGGTTGCTGGGAATTGAACTCTGGAAGAGCAGACAGTACTCTTAACCATTGAGCTATCTCTCCAGCCTACTATCTTTCATTTTGAAAGATAATTAAAGCAAAGTACTGAAGTAGGGTACATGCTTTTCCTCCCAGCCCCAAACTCCTGGATTAACGACTCATAAGGCTCAAAATATATTTACACATACCTAGGTTGTATAATTAGACAGTTCTGTGATTAGCTTATAACTTAAAATAACCCATTTATATTAATCTACATTCTGTCATGTGGCTGGTTACCTCTGCTCAGGTACCATGTGTCTGTCCTCCTCACATCTTCCTGGTGAATCTCCCATGCTTGGCACACTTGGCTCTATCACAGAATCCTTTTTGTTTGCCAGATGTCCTTCCTTCTATTCTGCCCTTTTCTATAGGCCATAAACTTTTTAATTGGCAGGCAATGCATCCATATAATATATAAGATATTCTCTCTGCAAAGTAGAGTGTCACTACTTGTTGTTTTGTGGTTTTAGAAACAAGGTATTGACCTGAGCACTACGGAAGTAACTCTCCAATACTGTAACACTCATACAGGGCTCCCTCACAGTAAGGAATTTGGGGCCTATAATGTTTTTTTCACTGGTCTGGATACTTCAGGATAATAATTTTAAAATGGTGCATGTTTCTCCAAATGACACTAGGATTAGAGTTGATTCTCATTTATTTACTTTTCCAAATTTATTCATTGAAGTTCTTCTTCTTCTTCTTTAATCTTAGGTGTTGGGAACTTAGTGCTGGAGACAGGTGGATTTACCAAGCTCCAATCTTAGCTGCTATTGGGGTAAGTTTAAAAGTTTGTGTAGCTTCAATGAATAATGAACAAATAAAATTGTCACTAAAACCCTGGGCAATTTTGCCTATTGCTTTACTGTATGGTAGGATTTAGGCACTTTCACACACATTGCAATAGCTGGGAGAGTCAGGGCCAGGGGTCAGACCCCCTATTTGTGGCTCACACTGAGCATAGTGCAAAATGTGCTTGCCATTCTTTGAGTCTGGGTAACTGGGCAGTTCTGAGGCTTCATTATGCATATGACTATTTACATGTGCAGGGAATTATAAGGTCCTTAAGCTACAGTCCCCTTTTCTTCAAGTGTGTCTGCAGTTAATGTTTTCAACACCTATCAGTAAACCCAGGAGGCTTGAAGGAAAGGCTTGAAAGACCCTTCGCCGGAGGCCTGTGGATTCTGACATTGAGAGGGAGAATGATACAGTGATAGGTTCAGGAAGGCAGCTTGTACCCTTTGCCGCTGTGTTGTGAAATTAGAGCTGTGTCTCAGAAATCCAAAAACTCTGTCTGGGATAAAGGAATGAGTGACTTTAATGAATTCTTGCCTTTTGAAAGTGTACGAAATGCTACCCTGTCAACCTGGTGACAACCCAGAGCTGCCGTCTGCTTCTGAGACATCAGCAGTGAACCTGAGGGGACAGTTGCTGCATGAAGGACCTGCTGTTCTCTCTGATTTCTCTTTTCCCGCTCTGCTCTCTGCACATCTACACTGGCAACCTCTGCCATATTTCCAGTTTCTCCTCTGAGTGTTTGCTCCTTCGTGTCTTACTATTGTCTTTTTTAGGGGTGACCATGCATATCTTACTACTTTTGTGTTTTCAGTTAATGTCCCAAAATGTACCTGTGTTCCATACAGCAGCTGTTTGATTAAAAAGGAAGGACTTTGAATAAAGTGTAATTAATAAAAAAAAAAAAAAAGGAAGGACTTACTAAACCCAAGAACTCTTTTGCTGAATTGTTAGAATTGAAGTAAAAAACAGTAAACTATTGGGCCTTTTCTATGGAAGCAAGTGATTTTTTTTTTTTACCCAATATGTTGTCTGTTTATTGACTGCAGTTGCTATATCTACATAAGTGAAGAGTTTATTTGTCTCGATTTCTAAACTAAAATGGGAATCAGCAAATTCGGAATTGAAGAATTATAATATAGTCACACTGATAAAGGAAACGGGTGGACATTTTATTCTTCAACTAAAATCCAAAGGCAAACTCTTTCTTTCTCTGTGTGTGTGTGTCTCTCTCTGTTTCTCCGTGTGTGTGTGTGAGTGTGCATGTGCATCCATGTGTGCACAAGTCCCCATGAATATATATGCACTAGGAATACAAACATGCCGACGCCTGGTGTGTCTATCCATAAGTTATAGGGGACTGACTTTAGTTCTTCATGCTTGTAGGGCAAGGACTGTACTGACTAAGCCATCTCCCAGCACAAGAATCTTGGTTACTATTTCTAATCCAGTAAAGTTCTTTATTCAGTTTTATAAATTGTAGAATTGATTCAATAGCAAGTACTTATGTATCTATCTATCTATCTATCTATCTATCTATCTATCTATCTATCTAT